GGATATTACAAACTTTAATGTTAGTGATCAAATGTAAATGTTTTGAGGATATTTTTTCTTGTTTTTTAAAATCAATTTTAACCAAATATTAAACCCTTTATTTGCCAGCCTATCTGTGTCGTTGGCCTTATGACGAGGAGTGCCTGTGGGTTATCCTAATCGTTGTCTTGGTCACTCTTGGTTGGGCCTGGTTGACTTTGCCAGTCAGCTCCTACAGTGATCATTTGGCCACCTCTAGATCTGTGTTTGCCGGTCTAGACGTAATCGATGCACTTACTTGAAGTGCCAGGTTGCAGCGATCCCAGAGCGTTGATAACGTGATCTGATCCCTAAGTTGAGAGCTGTCTCCTGTAACGCTTCCGAATAAGAGGTCCTGGTCGAAAAGAGTTGAAAGATACGAAATTAGGTGGTCGTTGGAATCCTGATCGCAGTAAAGTGGTCCTTGGTAACTGCTCAAGAGTAGAACATGTCTGCATCCGCCAGTAGTCTGCTAATAGGGAGGGCTGTGCGATTAAAGGCTTCCATCGATTGGGTAGTGTCCTTCAAGTGGGTGGCGAAGAGCCAGTCGGGCATATGTCATGAAGGTTTCTCCGACCGATAAATGGTTTGCTGCTTGACTAGCCTAGGGAAATATTGATAAAGGTAAAGTAAACTTTTTTAATGACATATGGGGCACAAAATAACTGGTGTCTTGTAAATGTTCTGTTTTTTAAATATAAAATTTCTACTTTAGTCTTTAAAAATATGTACTGTTTTCTCTTTTTTGTTTTGTTTTTTTTGTTTGTTTTTTTCCTTTTGTACTGAGCTCAGTATAGACTAATACTACTTTAATGTTAAAATCTGAATTTCCTCTAGCATTTTGCTTAAAAGCAATATGCTATTTGCTTATTTCGTGCCCTGACATAGATAATTCTTGAATTCTGATAGAATACAAGTGTGGTAAATACCATGTTTGTACTTTATCTAACATCTTCTCTTTCAGTAGTCTTGTTTTTATGCCATGTTGTTTTTTGTGTGTCACCTTTCCTCTTCTCTGCTTAACACCATTATCTTGTGTTAAGGATCTCAAAGATTTCATGAGACAAGCTGGGGAAGTAACCTTTGCGGATGCACATCGACCTAAATTAAATGAAGGGTGAGTTGTGAAAGTTAGGGAGGTTGTGAAAGCCTTTTAAAATAGCCCTGAAAATTTTACTGTAAACATTCCTAAAGACTTCAAATTTGAAAACTTTGAAATGTAGTGGTTCTCCAGGGACAGTTTTGTTCTCCTGGAGATGTTTGGGGTTGTTGGGAGACATGTTTGGTGGACAAAACTGACTGAGGGTGCTCCTGGCACCTCCTGGGGTACAGGCTAGGCATGCTGCTAAGCATAGAACAAGGAAGAATTACCTGGTTTAAAATGTAACAGCATGGAAGCTTTGCTGTGTTATCATCAAGAAATGAGAATATGGCAATAGTAAAGTGAATACAGAAACAACTTGTGTAGACTGCTGTGTGAGTGTTTGAGACTACAGGATGTGTTTACCTTAAAATAATTTTTTTCTGCTTTAGGGTGGTTGAGTTTGCCTCTTATGGTGACTTAAAGAATGCTATTGAAAAACTTTCTGGAAAGGAAATAAATGGGAGAAAAATAAAATTAATTGAAGGCAGCAAAAGGCACAGGTACCTCTTACATTTTTCAATGTAAAAGTTTTGTTGAATGGATTTGTAGGGCCTGTCATGTACTTTCCTTCATCTCCTTCTCTTATTTCTTAGTAGGTCAAGAAGCAGATCTCGATCTCGGACCAGAAGTTCCTCTAGGTCCCGTAGCCGGTCTCGTTCCCGTAGTCGCAAGTCTTACAGCCGGTCAAGGAGCAGGAGCCGGAGCCGGAGCAAGTCCCGGTCTGTTAGTAGGTCTCCCGTGCCTGAGAAGAGCCAGAAACGTGGTTCTTCAAGTAGATCTAAGTCTCCAGCATCTGTGGATCGCCAGAGGTCCCAATCCCGATCAAGGTCCAGATCAGTTGACAGTGGCAATTAAACTGTAAATAACTTGCCCTGGGGGCCTTTTTTAAAAACAAATTTCCAAACCATACTTGCTAAAAATTCTGGTAAGTATGTGCTTTTCTGTGGGGGTGGGGTTTGGAGGGGGTTGGGTTGGGTGGATATCTTTGTAGATGTGGACCACCAAGGGGTTGTTGAAAACTAATTGTATTAAATGTCTTTTGATAAGCCTTCTGCTCACATTTTTGTGAATGTCTGAAGTATATAGTTTGTGTATATTGACAGAGCTCTTTTATAACTAAAGCAAATTTAATTTTTTTGTACTAGAAAAAAATTGAACATTTTTAAGTTCCTGGTTATTCAAATATGTTTATTCAAAATTAGTTTAATACCTCAGTTAAACTAATTAATAGCTTTGGACACTTAAAAGAGCTCTAAATTTGCTTGTACATAAAGGCTTAATTTGAGTTTTCTTTGTTTAGGGTCAAGGGTGTCCTCCCACTTACCCTTAAAAAACAGCTGCAGGACAGACACATTAAAGCAGCTGTATGTTATTGATAATAAAATATTATAAAACTGCTTTTGTCTGTCTGTTTTTGAAGTCCTATTCCTCACCCCCATATATATACATTTAAAACATAAAATATCTCTAGAATCTGTTTTGACAGTGTCCCTTGTGTCCATATTCCCCTGTGCTTTATCCTCATTTATCTCTTTCTGGCATCTGGCTACCTAGGCTTCCAAAACCAAGTGAAGGATGGTGTATTTGAAAAACAAATTATAAAATTTATGAATTTCTTTCTTATTCTAAAGGTTATAATAGAATTTTGATAGTCAGATGATACAGAACTTTTCCAGTGAACACGATCGTGCTTAAGGGACTTGTTAACATTCTGCTTCATTCAGTCTTGAGACACAGGACAACACGTGGTTGAGAGAAAACAGTAGTAAAAAAAACTGCGTGAGGTCCTATGTCTCTCCAGCAAAATGTTAGAACCCTCTGTACTGGAGTCCTCAAACCTTGCCCAGTAAGTGCAGGAAATGAGTTTTATAGGAATCTCAGAAGACTGGTTAGATATTCTTAGACTTCCGTTAGGATGCAAGGTTAGATTTGGTAACAGTGGATAATGTTTACTTAATACCTGGTTGTGCTAGCCAGTTGCTGTTTTAAGTCTGTACTTTGTTGTACTGAATCTTTATGACCAATTCAGGGTCTTTTTCAAAGAACAAGTTTAAGTGGTAGATTGGTAATAGAATCCAGAAAGTCTGGCTACAGGGTCCCCAAACCACATGTTCTCATGACAGACTCATGCCCTACCCTTCTGGGCATATTGAGGACAGAATTAGAGTAGAAAAGGTTAGCTGTTTTCGGCTTCTTCAAAGTGGGTGTTACAATTTGTTGGGAGGGTTAAAAGGGTGGTTAAAAGGATGGTGAAGTTAAAAGACTGGAACCTGGGTGATGAGGTTGCAAAATTAGGTCTTTATTAGTATGTGGTTGATTTGGGAATTGGTGTTATACCCAAACTTGTTAATACCAGTAAACTGGGTTTATTTTAATCTGTTGTAACTTTAGTTTTGTAATGTATCTCAAGGCAGTAGTAGTCAGCCCAAAGCTGCTATCACAATTCTTTTCCCTTAGGTTCTTTTGAGTATGGTCCTCAGGGCAGTTTGGTAGTCTGTACTTGACGTAGACATTTTGAGTATTTTCTCTTGTTTACCCTAAATAAATTTAGGCTTACTACTGTCAGCAAGTATCGGGAATACAATACATTTCTTCCTTTGAAAAGATTAAGTTCCAGATTGGTTTCTGGCTAGCCTTTGTAGGGCGTGGTTGCAACCTTTGTTTTCTATGTTTTATTCCTTTCATTTTTATCTATTGTGAAGGTTTTAAGTCCAACCCTACCTTCCTCTAAAGCTAAACAAACTTAATTTTTGAGTGTTTTATATGATAAAATCTAGTAGATGTTTGTTAGAGAAACCAATTTGAATAGGCATATATAGATAAAATGGTAAGTAGGAGGAGACCTTTTCAAACATCTGTATGTTTGATTGTTCTGGTGCTGAAAATACTTGTTAGTCCAATACATTTGCTAACCTGATAACCCTAAAACTTGTTCATCTTGGTTTTATTTGTACCTGATCATACTAAAAGATAATGAAAATCTGAAGTAGGCACAGTTGACTGTGTTAATAATCTGCTTAGTCCTATTTGCATATGAGCAATGTGCAAAAGTGTTTAAATTTTATTAGAGAAAACTTGAAATTTTGAGAAAATTCTATCTGAATACTAATTATGATACTGCCCTGAGTGTTTTTTAATTGGAATCATGTATTTTGGTAATAATTTGCATTACTCTTTGAGTTTGTGGTGTACATTGTGTTAAAACCACTGATACCTAATGTATTTACAGAATAGTTTATTAGTAACATTCTTTAGTGTGTTTCTTGGGTTTTCTTTGTCAAAGTGTCTCTTCTTACTTCTGGAATTCTCCAGCCTTTTAAAATTTCAATTATGGCTGTGAGTAGCTATTTTTGAGTTTCTTTTCTAATTGCTCTTGCATTTTATTGTGTTCATATTTGCATACTGGTTTCTTACTGGTTTTTTTTTTTTTTTAAAGACAATCTTAGTCGCCTTGGCCCTGGGGTTGAGTGCTGTGGTGTTACTGCTCATAGCAACCTCAAACTCCCTACTAGCTGGGACTGTAGGTTTCTCCCACAACACCGGCTATTTTTAGAGACGGGTTTTGCTGTTGCTCAGGCTGGTCTTGAGCTTGTGAGCTCAAGTGATCTGTCTACTTTGACTCCTAGAGTGCTAGGATTACAGGTGTGAGCCACAACGACTGCCTGGTTTCTTACCTGTGTTCTCGAGAGTCTTAATCCCAAAAACATCAAAAAGGAAGGAATGGACTCTGAATCTTTGAAGTCTAATCCTATAGTACTCTGCTATGGTATTCTTCAGCATTTCGTTTGCCTTTTGGGTCACAAAACTTAAGGTATTCGGGTATTTGATTAATGGATAAAAGCTTATCAGACACCTTGTATTTCTGCCTTCATAGAATTTGTAGTCACTCTACATGTCTTATTTTTTAAATAAGTAGCAAATCTTAAATGGATAGGTGAGGCTTCTCAGGTAGACACCCTCTGTCTTCCCAGCCAAAGCTTGATGATTGTGATAGGTTTTGCTGGAAATGGAGAAAACTCAGGCAAGATTACTGTTTTTTGCTGCTCTCTGTGGTTTACCACGCTGCTTTTCTGAATTGCTTTCTGATCAGAATCTGGGGTGTTGGTGATGGTAGGGGGAGAAGGACTAGACTCTGCAAGGGGAGCCCTCTTTTTTGTGGGTGCCATTTCTCAGAGGTTCCGGAGTTGTTTCTTCAGTTGTGGCAGCTGTGTAAATCATTTTTGTTTTATCTGTAAAGTTAAAAAGAATCACAGTTGTAGAGAGAGAATAACAGTAATTAAAGTTTGTTTACTCTGAAAGTAGAAAAATCCAACTTACTCGTAGGATATTGTGTGTACACTGATTTTCTATTTCTCTACAGTCTCATTTCTCATTATTTGCTCTTAAAACACTTTCCCCCCAGTATCTGTAGTGGTAGTACTCGTAATAAAAGGCTTAGTATAGGGTGGTGCCTGTGGCTCAGTAGATAGGGCGCTGGCCCCATAAACTGAGGGTGGCGGGTTCAAACCCAGCCCCAGCCAAACTGCAACAAAAAAATAGCTGAGCGTTGTGGCGGGCTCCTGTAGTCCCAGCTACTCAGGAGGCTGAGGCAAGAGAATCGCCTAAGCCCAAGAGCTGGAGCTATGAGCTGTTATGCCATGGCATTCTATGATAAAGTGAGACTGTGTCTACAAAAGAAAAAAAATAGGCATTGTGATGGACGTCTATAATCCCAGCTACTTGGGAGGCTGAGGCAAGAGAATCGCCTAAGCCCAAGATTTGGGAGGTTGCTGGGATGCTGCAGCACTCTACTGAGGGTGACATAGACTCTCAGAAAATACATAAATAAAATAAAATTTTTTTAAAAGGCCTACTAGTACATAGGATTAGTGTATTTGAGCCTTCATTACCTCTATCTTCTAATATGTCAAACAGTAGGGAAGGTGAGTTTGTATGCAAGGGTGATTTATATTCGGAGTCAGGGAGGAAACAGCTTTAGGATGGGGCTAGCCAGGAGAGTTTGCATCCTTTCCCTCTGTCCTCCATCTCCACACTGTTACTCCCATTTTCTGCCCATGTAGAGGAGGTGGCAGTTTTCGAGGTCTATTTTATTCTATGTAGAAGACATGGGTCAAAATCCAAAAACCTGTGACAGGTATCTCACCTTGACAAAGCTGGTCAGGCTATTAGCTCAGTAAGTTGCTTTGGCTTTTGACGCTGGGATTTTTGGAGATGCATTGAGGTAAGTTTTGTTTTTTTTTTAAATAATCGTGTCTGTATTACCCAAGGTGGAGTGTAGGAGTATGATTATAGCTCACTGGAGCCTGGAACTACAGGGCTCAAATGCTCCTGCCACCTCAGCTTCCAAGTAGCTAGAACTATTTTTAAATTTTTTGTAGATACTGGTCTAGCTATGTTGCAGTCTGAATTAGAACTACTGGTTATAGGTATGAACCACCATGCTGGCCTGGGTACTTAAAAGGCTAAATATTCAGTATCCCCCACCCCCTCTCTGGGGCATTCCAAGGCTTCCTGGGACTTCAAACCTGTTTGAGATACCAATTGTTCTAGAAATTTCTGTGCATTTTTGGTAGGAGGATAGAAACCTTGTGGGCAACAAATCTCAAGTTGCTTTTAGAAAATCATCAGACTAGATTGTTTATATAGTACTGTAGTTTGGAGCCAAAGCTTACAACATAGTTCAGCCATTTTTTGTCAGCTATTGATTTTTTTTTTTTGGCTACTGGATAGCGAAGGTTACCCTTTCAGCCAATTATAAAGGGAGAATCAGCATTTGCTTAATACCATGAATTCTAACTGGGAAGGTTGCTTATTTTCTTAAGAGTGTAAAACAATCCCCAGGTCTAGAAAAGGTTTAGAAGGGGCCTTCAATTCATGGGAAGTAAGTTGAGGGATTTGAGTAAATGGTTAGGAAGAATATATTGATGGTTTGGGAGTATAAAATATTAAAATGGATGATAAAGTTTGAGTTTCCTGTTAAAAGCTTTGGAGTTGAAGTGTTCTTTGAGGAAGGACTTTGGTCTTTTTGAGGTTGATTATATCTCGAAGGTAGTGCTGAGCATTTTAGAAATGAGGTGCTATATTAGTCCAGTAGTAGATTAAAGTATAAATCATTCATGACATTTATTGTGGTCAGTGTTCAGCAAGTTTACTATGTAGCCATAGTTAAATCTTCCTTTGGATTCTGAGTTACATTAGGCTGCTTTGCCTTAATTTTCCTCATGATGGTGCTAGAGGGTGCCAGGACTCTGACCTTGTCCCAGGACGTGAGAACGTTGTCCTTGAAAACAAATTTGTCCAAGGTCACCAAAGTGGAAAGTCCACAAAATGCCCCATAACCTGGGTGATGTAGAAGCCAACAGACACGCACTTGAGTGTGAAGGGGATGAGGAAACACGAAAAGTGTTGGTTAGGTTGAAAGAAATCATGGCTAACTTTTGATTTAAATATATAATGTTTATGTGAGCTAGGCTAATGCCACAGTACTGTAGCCTAGGCAGCAGAGTGCTCTGTCTCAAAAAAAAAAAAAGGAAAGGAAAGGACTTTGGTTGAGGCCTTTTACACAATTAATACTTGAGAACTGTCTTAATGTCCAGAGCATTCTGTCCTATTTCCTTGTGCTGAAGAAATGGTGTCTCCCCACTTAGACAAAACAGCCCGGATTGTATCAGCCTTAATGAGGTAAACTGCATCCCTAATTTGATTTACCTAGCTAGAAGGCAGAAATGAAGTGCAGTTAATGAAGTAGTCTTGGCCCTGTAAGGTCTCTTGAATACTTCTCAGAGCTCCTGGTTCCTAGTGTCTTGATAATAGTTAATACTCCATACAAAAAGTCCCTACTAGAAACTTGCTTTTTAGTGGACTGGTCTAATACAGGGCAAAATTTGAAGGGGGTTAAATAATTCAGCACTCACCTTTGGGAGTCTTGATTTTCTCATAGCACCGAAAGATGGCAATGAGAAGAAGCCCTTCCCCAAGCTGGAAAATCATGTAGAGGAGGGGAAAAAAGAACAGGGGTCCAATGACTTCAGGGGGAAAGGTCACATTGAGGATGGTAGAGCAGAGTTGAACATTTTGGCATCCAGTCTCCATGCTGACTGTGCGTCTGCACCTGTGTGGTAGGAAAATACAAAGCCTGCATGGATAGAAGGAGCACAAGGGAGCACCTTGCTTGCACTTCTCTCTCCCTCCCAGATACTGCAGAATCTGCTCGATAGTCCTACATAGGAAGATGGAAGGGAGCCAGGAAAGTGGAGTGCAGTGGGTTCAAAATACGTCAAGTAGACCCACTTGACACTAATTTAGCCCTGGGGGGATAGTGACTAGTAGGTTCATGTTGGGGTTTTTATGAGAGGGTTTTAAATAGCTTGGAAATCTGTAACTTGTCTGCTTTTGCAAGATTACCAAAGTTTGGAGAAAAGTCTAGTTGTTAAGAGCTGAAAAGGAAGTATAAGTATCATTCCTTGGCTTGTTATGTTGGGCAAATGGGGCAATTATACTTTCAACACACAGTAGAATATAGTTTGTCTGAAATGCCTGGGACCTTATCCTCTGTCCCAAGTTTCTGGCTTAGACTTTTTTTTTTTTTAAGAGACAGTCTCACTTTATCATCCTCAGTAGAGTGCTGTGGCATCACAGCTCAAAGCAACCTCCAACTCTTGGGCTTAGGCTATTCTCTTGCCTCAGCCTCCCAAGTAGTTGGGACTACAGGAGCCCGCCACAACGCCCAGCTATTTTGTTGGAGTTTGGCTGGGGCTGAGTTTGAACCTGCCACTCTCAGTATATGAGGCTGGTGCCCTACTCACTGAGCACAGGTGCTGCCCTGAGTTAGACATTTTTAAAATGTGTGGTGATTATTTTTTGAGACAGTCTCACTGTCTCACCCATTGCTCTGGGTGAAATGCTGTGGTGTCATAACTCACAGTAACCTCAAACTCTTGGGTTTAAGAGATCCTCTTGCCTCAACCTCCTAAGTAACTGGGATTACAGGCACCTGCCACAATGCCCAGCAGTTTTTCCTATTTTTAGTAGAGATGGGGTCTCCTTTTGCTCAGATTATTCTCCAACTCCTGAACTCAGTCCCTCCTTGCCCCTTCAGCTTGGCCTTCCAGAGTGCTAGGATTACAAAATGTGCGGTAATTGAAAACCCAAACTCAATTCTGCACTGTTATCAATCTTTGGAACACATTGCTTTGTATTTTATGAATTAAAGGGTGGGATGTTTACATTAATGAATATATAATTCATTGAATTATGACTTAGTGTATTAAAATATCTATTAAAAAATGGAGTGACTGGGTGGTGCCTGGGGCTCAAAGGAGTAGGGCGCCAGCCCCATATGCTGGAGGTGGTGGGTTCAAACCCAGGCCCAGCCAAAAACTGCAAAAAAAAAAAAAAATGGAGTGACATCATAGCACATTCATTATGAGGGAGACTGCTGTGATAGAACTTGATACTGTGGCCATTACCATCTGCAGCACTCTGTTTTGGTGAAAATTGACAGTACTAGCTGGTCATTGGCACCCTTTTGGCTCATGATAATCATCTTGTATTACATCCTATGGCATGTTTTTTTTTTGAGACATAGAGTCTCACTTTGTTGCCCTGGTAGAGTGCTATGGTGTCACAGCTCACAGCAATTTCAGACTCTTGGGCTTAAGTGATCCTCTTGCCTCAGCTTCCCAAATAGCTGGGACTACAGGTGCCCACCACAAAACCCAGCTATTTTTTTGTTGCAGTTGTCATTGTTTAGCTAGCCCCAGGCCTGGTTAGAACCCGCCAGCCTCCCGTGTATGTGGCTGGAGCCATAACCACTGTGCTACCGGCACTGAGTTGGCAATTTGTTTTTTATTATTTTTATTTTATTTTATTTATTTATTTTTTTTGAGACAGAGCCTCAAGCTGTCGCCCTGGGTGGAGTGCGGTGGCATCACAGCTCACAGCAACCTCCAACTCCTGGGCTCAAGTAAGTCTCCCGCCTCTGCCTCCTAAGTAGCTGGGACTACAGGCGCCCACCAAAACACCTAGCTATTTTTTGGTTGCAGCCATCGTTGTTTGGCAGGCCCAGGCTGGATTCGAACCTGCCAGCTCAGGTGTATGTGGCTGGCGCCTTAGCCATTTGAGCCACAGGTGCTGACCTGGCAATTTGTTTTTTATTAAATTACATTGGCTTTAAAAAGGGTAATTACGTTGTGGCAGGTACCTCTAGTCCTGGCTACTTGGGAGGTTGAGGCAATAGAATCACTTAAGCCCAAGAGTTTGAGGTTGCTGTAAGCTGTGATGCCACCATACTCTACTGAGAGCGATATAGTGAGACTGTCTCAAAAAAAAAAAAAAGGGTTATTATATATACCCACATTATTTTTTGAGACAGAGTCTCAGTCACCCTGGGGTTGAGTGGTGTCATGTCATAGCTTGCTTCAGCCTCTTGAGTACTCTTGGGCTTAAGTGATTCTCTTGCCTCAGCCTCCCAAGTATCTGGGACTACAGGTGCCTGCCACAATGTCTGGCTATTTTTGTTGTAGTGGTTTGGCAGACCCAGGCTGGGTTTGAACCTGCCAACCCTGGTGTATGTGGCCTGCACCCTAGCTGCTGAGCTACAGTTGCCGAGCCAATAATTATATTTTAAATTGTTTTTAAGTTAAGAGTTTGGGAGGCAGGGGTTCTGCCAATGTTTAGTGTTTAGATTTCAGCAACAGAATTTGTTGTGGCTGAAAAGAGGAAAAGTCCTTGTAGTACTTTCTCTTTGTAGACAGGAGGGTCTCTGATGTTCCCACAACATGCCCTCAAATTTCTCTAAAGTAGCAACTGTGTGTGTGAATTGGATTACACTTTAGCCAAGGTCCACAGCAATTTCAGATCTGAGTAGCACTTAGCAGAGCTGTTACCCAGTGGTGTTCTTGTCGGGATTAAGCCTTAGGCAGAAATGGAGGAAAAGTTAGAAAGAACTAACACCTGTTATGACCTGAAACTACCCCAATGCCACTAACTACCAAGGAGTTGGGCAGGACATGGTGTCTAGGTTTGGGGTATATGTGGGGGATACTTTGCCATTAGCTTTTGCTGTTTGGATGATGGGGTTTAGCTGGTGCATGTGAACTTATTTGTTAGGAAAATGCCTTGCCCAGATTTCACCTCTACTTTTCCTGAGAGGCCAAGACAAGAATGAAGCTCATGGGACAGGGGGACCTAAAACAATACCTACCGTCCATTGAGGCGGAAGAGAGCAGAGAGAATGTAGCCCAGGAGAAAGCCAATAAAAGGCATCAGGGAGGAGGTGGCCAGCAACAGTGGTGTCATGGCAACCATGATGCTCTTGCCCACATTGATGGCAGAAAGGGCGATGATGGCCACACTGAGCAAGAGAATGATGATCATCCCTCCCTGGGCATGAGACAAGAAAAAGTGGTTAGAGGGGTGGGGAATAGGGAAGAACAGAGAGGTGGGGAGGGACAGGTGGGGATTGGAGGGAAAAGGGAATGTGTGAAAGACCTTCATCTTCCATCTTTTAGGATTTTTTTTCTTATTCTTTTTTATTTTAAGACAGAGTTTCACTTTGTTGCCCTCAGTAGAATGCTGTGGCATCATATCTCACAGCAACCTCAAACTCTTGGGCTCAAGCAGTTCTCTTGCGTCAGCCTTCCAAGTAGCTGTCTGGTTCAGGCTGGTCTCTAACCAGTGAGCTCAGGTTATCTACTCACCTCACCTTGGCCTCCCAAGTACTGGGATTACAGTCGTGAGCCACTGTGCCTGGCTCCTAGTAACCTTTTTAAAAATTGTGATAATAAAATTTGCCATTTTAATTTTCCTTTTTTTTTGGATGGGGATAAAAACTATTTGGTCACTGTCACCCTGACAGACTATTCAGTCTCTGTCACCTTGAGTAGAGTGTCACGGTGTCATAGTTTATAGCAACCTCACACTTCTGGGCTCAGGCAGTTCCCTTGTCTCAGTTTTCTAAGAGATGGGGGTCTCGCTTTTGCTAAGGCTAGTCTCAAACTTTTGAGCTCAAGCAATTCACCCACCTTGGCCTCCCAGAGTGCTAGGATTACAAGCATGAGCCCATCTTGCCTGATCCATTTTAATCATTTTTTGAGTACATTTAAGTGGCATTAAGTACATCCACATGTTGTCCTAAAGATGTTTTAACATTTATTTATATTCAAATTTCGGTTATATAGCTTTCCTTTTCTGTTTTCAATCTATGTTGTAACTGATGTGGTCATATGAAACATCACCTGTACCAAACAGTGGTCCTATTCTAGGATAGGAAAAACATTCACATATCCCATCAATAACCATGTGCTTCAAGTTTTATTAAAAGCTTAACTAACTAATGGGCTTCCCACTTTGCCTTTCATTTTTACTGATTTCCTCTTTTATATTTCTGCCTTTTGGATTTGGTTTTTTTTTTTTTTTTTTGAGACAGAGCCTCAAGCTGTTCCCCTGGGTAGAGTGCCGTGGCATTACAGCTCACAGCAACCTCCAACTCCTGGGCTCAAGCGAGTCTCCTGCCTCCGCCTCCCAAGTAGCTGGGACCACAGGTGCCCGCCACAACGCCCAGCTATTTTTTGGTTGCAGCCGTCATTATTGTTTGGTGGGTCCAGGCTGGGGATTCGAACCCACCACCTTAGGTGTACGTGGCTGGCGCCTTAGCCGGTTGAGCTATAGGCACCGAGCCTGCCTTTTGGATTTGTCCTATAATTAATGACCAAATAGTTTTTATCCCCATCCAAAGAACATAATGGAGAATGTAGGGGAATTGAGATACAGGAATTGTTCCTCTGTGTGGGCATTCACTCCCATTCCTTCACTCACTCTTGTTTTCTCACTTGGGGGGCAGAGTGGTGGTTATGACACAGACTTGGGTTTGATCTATGTGAAAGCTGGCTCTGCCGGTCTCTAGGTATGTAAACTTTGGCAAGCCACACAACCTTTCTGAGTGAGATTGATGGCACAGAACCTGGCTGACTTATATGGACCACTTACTAAATTGTAGCTCCTATTATTGTTCATAGGTAAAAAGAGAAATTTAACGTTTTGATAGTTTCCTGTCACTCTGACTCATGCCATCTGTGGAAATAATGTCTATAATTTGCTGTTGAGATCTCTGTGGCCCTGGGTAGTGGCTTCTCCATAGGTTGCCATGTTTTGTACCACTTGTCGTTACTGCCCTGGTCACTGCCCATTTGTGGGCAGCCAATCTATTGACTTGCCAGTGACACATGACTTACAATAGATAAATCAAGATAACATTTTAGGGATGTCCCATTTGTGGGCACTGCCTATTAGTGGGCAGACAATCCATTAGTTCGTCAGTGACATGAGATGATAACAGGGCCTACGTTCTACACACAAAGGTGGCCTGCACAGATAGGTGAGTGGTTGAACAAAGCAGATTCTCTCATATAGGGAGTTTCTGGATTACAGAAAGGGAAGCAGTAGCAGGGACAAGTGTTAAGAGACACAAGTTAGCAGAAGCTGTAAGACAAGGGAGTCAGGTCAGTTCAGCCGCAGAAGCAGGTATGAGAAAAGCATAAGTAGAGTGGTTGAGTTGATATAATGGCGGGATCCTTATTAAAAAGTGGTGGATGCTTGGTGCCGGTAGCTCAGTGGCAAGGGTGCTAGCCATATGCTCTGGGGCTGGTGGGTTCGAATCCGGCCCAGGCTCGAACAATAATGACAAGTACAACAAAAAGTAGCCAGGTGGTGTGGCAGGTGCCTGTAGTCCCAGCTACTTGGGAGGCTAAGGCAAGAGAATCTCTTAAGCCCAAGAGTTTGAGGTTGCTGTGAGCTGTGAAGCCATAGCACTCTACCAAGGGGGACATAGTGAGACTTTGTCTCAAAAAAAAAAAAGTGGTGGATAATTTATGGTGAAAATGGTTCCCATACTATGTCATGCACAGATTCATCAACCTTCTAGCTATGTAGGCTTTGCCTTGCATGGGTGCATTTATTTATTTTTATTTATTTATTTTTTAGAGACAGAGTCTCACTTTGGCACCCTTGGTAGAGCGCTGTGGCATCACCGCTCACAGCAACCTCCAACTCTTGGGCTTAGGGAATTCTCTTGCCTCAGCCTCTTGAGTAGCTGGGACTACAGGTGCCTGCCACAACATCCGGCTATTTTTTTGTTGCAGTTTGGCCAGGGCCAGGTTCTATCCCACCACCCTTGGTATATGGCACCAGCGCCCTACTCACTGAGTCACAGGCGCTGCCTGCATAGGTGCATTTAAAAGTTACTTTTGAATTGTCTTTCACAATTGAGTATAATTGTGATGAATGTGTTATTTAGTTCAATGTAAGCATTTCACATTGTATATTGAAGCAGTACCCTGCATCAATATAAAAAGTTATGATTTAATAAAAAATAATTCAAAAAAAAAAAAAGAGGACTTGCCTTTCAAAGTGGGGCATCCCTAAAATTTTATCTTGGTGTATCTAAATGTGACCTTTCACCAGAGAACCCAACTGGTCGAACAGAGTTTGAGCAGATGCTACTGTCAGAGCTAGCTTTTGGAGGTTGAGTAATTTTGATTTGAAGGTTCCAGGAGGGTTAAGTGTGTAAAGAGGATGATCATTTGTTCGGCTTGGTGTTCGCTATATTATTTATGGCATAGGGAGACCAAGGACGAGGATAGACCTCTGAGCCATAAAACCAAGGAAGCCTCAGCTTTTGCAGCTTGATCACACATTTGTTTCTGCATCCTCACAGGAGTGACACCTGCTGGGGAGCACATGAAAATCCAATGGAGGCTTGTTGCCCGTAGCACAGTGATTATGGTGCCAGCCATATATGCTGAGGCTGGCAGGTTTGAACCCAGCCTGGGCCTGCTAAACAACAAGGACAATTGCAACCAAAAAATAGCTGGGCATTGTGGTGGGCACCTGTAGTCCTAGCTACTCGGGAGGCTGAGGCAAGAGAATTGCTTATGCCTGAGAGTTTGAGGTTGCTGTGAACTGTGACGCCACAGCACTCTACTGAGGGTGACATAGTGAGACTCTTATCTCAAAAAAAAAAAAAAAATTCACATGGAGCTGTTGATGTCTGATTGTTTAACCCTGGAGGTTTTAGCCAAGAACAAAATGGGTCCAAGTTACACCTGGAGATCATAAAAAGCTTTGTTCAACCGCTTACCTATCTGTGTAGGCCACATTTGTGTGTAGAGTATAGGCCCACTAGCTCTTTCTTAGTGGTCCCCGTCTTTCTAGCCTATTTCTTAGTCCTTTTAATATTCTCTGGTGTCATTTCAACTCTTTGTTTTTCCTGTGGCATTGAGTGGTAGATGTGCAACACACCCAGAACAGGAGTCTGTTCAGCTTAGCAGTCACCATATTATAATCCCTATATTATAATTACATTCATAATTATTGATAATCCTGGCTCTTCCAACTAATTCTTCTAGGCCTCAGTCCAATCCGGAAATTGGGAATGAGGTAGAAGACTAGACTTTATCTGAAGCTCTCTCCAGCTTTCAGATCTGAGATTTCTGCCTTTGCATCCATAGATGACGACTTCTATGGTTACTTGGAGGTAAAAAGGAGACATGTTCTCACATCAGCTGTCATTAGCAGTATGAACTTAAAGCGAAGGGCAGAACTGCATTAAATAATAGCAGCGGTCACTTCACATTTTTATATTCTGTGATTTTCAAAATTCCTAATACCCCATAAACTATCATAAAGAATTCACATGATAGACACAGACGTGTTTCTGGAGTTTTTTGGTTTTGTTTTGTTTTGCTTTTCCTGCTAATGTGTGGAATAAACAAAGCAGAGAAGACGTGCCCTTTATTCTTTTATTTTCAGGCACTAGCTGTGGGACCACTGTGATCACTAGCTATGGATTCAGTGTTAATTAAGACATAGCTTTATGTTCTAGCTTATTGAGAAACAGGTGAATGGGGAATGAAAATGAGCAAGTATTTGTAATACAGTATGATAACCGCCGCAAGGCTTGGCAGGCATTGGGTGCTATGGCAGGGAACAGGACAAGGCTTGGGGAGTTAAGGAAGGCTTGGGGAGTTAAGGAAGGCTTCCTGGAGGAGGTGCTTTTTGTATTGAGACTTGAAGGGTGAGTAGGAAGGACTTGTGAAAAGTGGTGAGTGGGGTGGGAGTTGGGAAGAAGAGTGTTCCAGGGAAAAGGCAGGGCACGTGCAAGGAGAAAAGAGCTGAGATTGGCCAGGTCAGTAAGGACCAAATCAAGAAAGGCCAGAGGATCCACGTTAAGGAATTTAAACTTTATCCTAGAGGGGAGTAAGGGACTCATGAGAGACTTTAAGCGACGGAGTGACATGACAATGTTTGTTCTTTACATCTCCTCTCTCAAGTTAAAACTGGGTCAGGGAGCAGAGTTAGAGGGCTGTTTCCATTATCTAGTGCGAGAGGATAGTGGCCTAAATGAAGATAGTGCAGATAATGAGGATGGAGAGGAATGGATGGATTTAAGCAATGGAAGGGAGACTTGATGGCCATAGATTAGATGGGTGTGAATGGGGAGGGAAAAGGGGATGTTGAGAATCGCTTTCTAGTTTTTAGTTGAAAGGCACATACATAGTCACTGAGATAGTTACATGGGGAAGAGGGGAGGAGCATTTGGGGGGAAGAGATGATTTTAATTAAATAATTATATATATACACACACACACACACACACACACAGAGTCTCCATTGCTCTGGGTAGAGTTTCATGGTGACATAGCTCACAGCAAGTTCAAACTCTTGGGCTTGAGAGATCCTCTTGCCTTATCCTCCCTAGCAGCTGGGACTATAAGCGCCTGTCACACCACCCAGCTAATTTTTCTATTTTTAGTAGAGATGGGATCTCGCTCTTGCTCAGGCTGGTCTCGAACTCCTGAACTCAGGCTCTCTGCCAACCTCGGCCTCCAAGGGTGTTAGGATTATAGGCATGAGCCACCATTCCCGGCTAATGATTTTAATTTAAAACATACTAAATTAATAAGTGGATTCTGGAGTCAAGAGAGAGTTGGGAGCTGATGATACCGTTCTGGAAGTTTTCAGCTTGCAGATGGTAGTTGCAAACCTAAGATGGATCAGATCCTGCCATAGGAGGTCCTGGGCTGGGGGAAGTATGGCAAGAAAGGTAGAAAGCTTGCCGAAAAGTTACTTTTTCCAGAGGACCTCACAAGGGAGTCTAAACAGACGTCACAACAGGTGGTAGAAAAACAGCAGAGTTTAGAGTCACCAAAGCTGATGGGAGAAGGCTTTTAGGAAGGAGCCAGTGGTCAGTTATGTCAAATTTTGCTCAAAGGTCAAGGAAGGATTGAGAATTATCTGTTGGATTTGGAAAAGAAAGTGGAGCAGATGGTCGTCAAGCTATTGGAAGAATGGGAGACCCAAGAGAAGAGAAGAGAGAGATTCCAATAACAGGCCGCTTGTTGTCTTGGTCACTTGTGAGAGTTCTGGTGGTAGTGTGGTGGAAGTGGAAAGTATTCTAAAGCAAGAGGATTGACACAGAGAAAGAGAGAGGTGTGAAGGAGAGTTTTTCTTTTCTTTTTTATAGACAGAGTCTCACTTTATTGCCCTCAGTAGAGTGCCGTTGTGTGACAGCTCACAACAATCTCCAGCTTTTGGGCTTAGGCGATTCTCTTGCCTCAGCCTCCCAAGTAGCTGGGACTACAGGCGCCTGCCACAACGCCTGGCTATTTTTTTTGCAGTTTGGCTGGGGCCGGGTTTGAACCTGCCACCCTCGGTATATGGGTCCAGCGCCCTACCCACTGAGCCACAGGTGCCACCAAAGGAGAGTTTTTCTGAAGCTTGCCTAGGAAGGGGAGCAAAGAGAGAGGTGTTAGGTGGAATGCAAGGTGGATTCCACAAAATATCTCAGTGAACAATTTTTTCTTTGTTTCTTAAAGATAGGAGAAATTAAATCTGTATCAGTGCTGATTGTAAAGAACTAATATAGTGGGCGGCGCCTATAGCTCATTGAGTATGGCGCTGGCCCCATTATACCAAGAATGTTGGGTTCAAACCCAGCCCCGGCCAAACTGCAACAAAAAAAATAGCTGGGCATTGTGGTAGGTGCCTGTAGTCCCAGCTACTCGGAAGGCTGAGGCAAGAGAATCACCCTAAGCCCAGGAGTTGGAGGTTCTGTGAGCTGTGACCCCACAGCACTCTACTGAGGGCAATAAAGTGAGACTCTGTCTAAAAAAAAAAAAAAAAGAACTAATACAGAGATTTTTAGAAATGAGAGTGAGATGAGGAGGTTGCTGTGGGAAGAGGCATAATCAATAAAAGGTAAAGCAAGGACAAGAAGGTGGGAGTGTACCCAGGGCTGGGGCTGGGTGATCACCATGGCCACCAGGAGGAATGACTTGTCCATGTCTTCCAGGAGGTGGGAAGGGGAGTGATGGCCATTGTATCCGGACAGGGCCAGGGCAAAAACTACCCTTAAGACAATGGTAGTGTGAAAATAACTTCCTCCACCTCTGAAAACCTGACTTACAGTTTCTTTGTCATAGGCCCTAACCTGCTGCCAATCTTTGGGCTTCCAAGCAGTGTGCCTTGTAGACCAGGCCAAAGGCACTGATCCAGGGACCAAGATAACAGGATGTTAGGTGAATTCCTGGCCTAGGAGAATGAACAGTAAGCTAAGAATGAGGTGGCCAGAGATCAAATTGTAAGGTCAGAAAAGTAGGTGGAAGGACCGTGGATGTATTTGAAGAGTCTGGGAGTCTTTTAAAGAGCAAAGCAGTGGCACGATCCTGGTCTGACCACAATACTTGGCTAATCCCTCTGTGGCTATACTCACTTCATTCTACCTCCCATGCCCCTCCTGAAATGCTGGGAGTGTGTACAGCACCACCTCATTAATACCTGGTCTCAATACACCACCTCATTTCCCCTGGTCTCTTCCTTCTAGCTTCTTGTCAAGTCAGGCAAATTTGCTCTTGGTACTCTATGACTTCTTCATGCTTCTTCCCAGGCTTATGTCAATCCTATTCTTTGTTTCATGGTCTGGTTCAAGCCCCACTCCCCCATTTAAGACGCCTCCTTGACCACCCCGAGCCTCACTAATCTTCTCTCCTTGTATTCTGCCCGTTCTTGCTTGTACACTCATGTTGAATCTTGTTTCTCTTACATGTCACTTCACTTTCTGCAAATATCAGACTCTGGGGACAGTGAATCCTCAGTGCATAGCATAAAACTTAGCATTTAGCAGGAGCAAAATGCAAGTTTAATTTTATTATAAAAATGATGATTATACCTTATACTTTGTATATGGTGTTTTTACTGTTTTTCTCTGTTTTTAAGCCCCCAGGTTCTTACCTTTGTGACATAGCCTACATATTGTGGCCGTTTGGATTTGAGGATGATTCCCATGGTGGAAGGAATGAGAACGAGAACCAATGATATCATGATCCTTCCATAGGGTACCTTATCCTTCACGTCCCCATCAAAAATCCCTCTGGAGTAGATGTACAAGAGGAGAGGCATCATGCCCAGGGCAAAGAAGGTGGAGCAGGTAGTCATCACAATACTGGGTGGGAGACATGAGAAGTGTGAACAGAGAGAGCCCATTAATATAAACTATATTATAATAATATAAACAAATACATAACATAATATATCACAAACAAATGTAATAATAAAAACAAAATTTACTGTTTCGTTGAGTGCCTGCCAGGTGCCAGGCATTGTGCTAAATAATTTATGTATGTTGCTTCATTTCCTTTTTCCAGTATTCTTAGGCAAAAACAGTAAATATATTGTATTCCTTTTTTGTTGTTGCTAATAAGGAAGCCGGGGAATAGAAGAGTTATGTCTTATCTAAAATCACACAAGGTAGTAAGTAAATGGCTAGGACAGCATTTGAACCTAGGACTATGCATCATTATGGAAGGAACCATTCTGATCTCCTCTATAACAGAACTCTTTCGGCTTTGAGTACCTGCCACATACACATCTCATTTTGAAGAAAGCTAACTCTGTGATCCCATCACTTGGACTTACAGCCCATGGGATCATGGAATAGCACCCGATCCACAGCTGCTAAATGTCTGGCTCTAAGCCTAGGGAATGGCTGGATGTGGAAGCTTTGTCCAACTAAGATAATAAGGATTAACTACATCGAGTATGTTTTACGTGTTGGGGAGTTTGAGCGCGAGGCACAGTGACAGAGCACTTAGCCTTCGGGAATGGGTGATGCAGGAGTGATGGTCAGGCAGAAGCCAAAAAGTGTAGTAAGACAAAGCAGTACACAGAGGTCATGATTAGAACACTTGTATTACAGCGAACACCTAGCACACTTAAATACATATGTGAGCTTGTAAGAAAGTAAGGAAAGTGCCCAGGGACAAGGAATAATGCAAAGTAGTTAGTGCTCAGGCTCCGTTGAAACTGCACTGCACGGAGGGTTTAGGGAGTGGAGTGTTAGTTTTGGTAATCTGGAGGTTTAGGTTTTAATGGCTAAGGGAGGTCATAGGAAGAACACTGAAATTGAAAAATCTAGCCAGGTATTGTGGCAGGTGCCTGGAGTCCCAGCTACTGGGGAGGCTGAGGAAAGGGGATTGCTTGAGCCTAAGAGTTTGAGGTTGCTGTGGGCTGTGATGCTATCGCACTCTACCCAGGGTGACAATGAGACTCTGTCTCAAAAACAAAGCAAAATAAAAAAAAGAAGAAGAAACCAAGAAATCCATAATGAAAGGATCATGGGGACTTTATCTTATGGATCAAATATGAAATTGTGGTGGGAAAAATAGAATAGGATAATAAAATAGATATTTTAAAACATGTGGAGAGGTGACTTTAGATTAGGCAATATTTTCTTAGATATGATTCCTAAAGCAGAAGCAGCCAAAGAAAAAAATATATAAATCAGATTTCATTAAAATTAAAAGCTTTTGTGCTTCAAAGGACACCATCAAGAAAGTGAAAAGACGTTCCAGAGAATGAGAGAAAATATTTGCCAGTCATATTGCTGATAAGGATTGAGTATTTAGAATATAGGAAGAACTCTTACAATGTAATAATAAAAAATAACTTAAAAAATGGGCAAAAGATTTGAATAAAACATTTTCTCCAAAGAGATACAAATGGCCAATAAGCTCGTGAACGGATGCTCAACATCATTACTTATTAGGGAAACGCAAATCAAAACTGCAGTGAGACACCACTTCACACCCACTAGCGCAGCTATAATAAAAATGAATAATAACAAGAGTTGAAGATGATATAGAGATTTTATAATCATCATACACTTCTGCTGAGAATGTAAAATGGTACTTTGGATGACAGTTTGGCACTTTCTCAAAAATTTAAACAGAGTTTTATGGCCTAGCAAGTCCACTCTTAGGTACATATTCCAAGTGAACAGAAAACATGTCTATGAATGTTTAAAACAGCATTATTCATAGTAGCTAAAAAGTGAATGAATGAATAAACAAAATAGAGTATGGCTCACGTGAATCTCTTGCCTTAGCCTCCCAAGTAGCTGGGACTACAGATGCCTAGAACAATGTCTGGCTGTTTTTTAGTGGAGTCTCGCTCTGGCTCAGGTTGGTCTCGAACTTGTGAGCTCAAGCAGTCCACCCAATTGGGTGGATTGTAAATTCAATAAAAATTTCAGACATATTTCTTGTAGATTTGAAAGCTGATTCTAAAATTCAGGTGAAAGAGCAAAAGGCTTAGAATAGCTAACACGAGTTTCAGGAACAAGGTAGGAGGACCTAACTTTCAGATGTCAAGACTTATTATAAAATTATTAATTATTAATTAAGAAAGCATGGTACTGGTGCAAGGATAGCCTAATAGACCAGAAGAGACATTACAGACACAAACCCATGCATATTTCATTTAGGAAAGAGGTGGCATTACAGATAACAGGAGAAAAATTCACTCAGCAGTGAAGGAAATTTTCTCTATTCATCTGGAAAAGATAAAATTAGATCACACTATACATAAAAATAAGTTCTAAGCTGATTGGAACATTCCATGTGAAAAGCTAAAATTTTAAACTTTTCAAAGAACATATTGGAAAATATCTCTGTAATTTTGCAGATAGTGAAGGATTTCTTAAACCTAAAATAACATAAGGCATCAAGGAAAAATAATGGTAAATTTGACCAAATTAAACACTCAATATTATAAGACATCATTATCAAAGTGTAAGGACAAGCTCCAAACTGTAAATAGACGGTTGCAACACATATATATGTATGTAATAAAAAATAACTTTACAAATACATTTAAAAAACCCACTAAAATAAAAATTCCATAGAAAAACAAAGGACCTAACACCCAAATGGCCATCAAACATATGAAAATGTGATAAACTGCCGATGAAATTGAATTCAAAACTTCCATGTTCTACTTCACACTTAACTGGCAAAAATTAAGAAGTCTAATAATTGTAAATATAGATGAAAACATGGAGAAATAGATCTTAAGATACTGCTAAGTGTAAAGTGGAACAGTTAGTTTGGAGACCATGAAAGATGTGTGCACCCACTCCCTAGCAGTCCCGATGCTGGTTTTATTATATATGCCCTATATGCCCTCATCCATGGGGTGTGCACTGTTCAGGGAAGCAAGATATGCGATCCACATGGATGTCTGATGGGAGGATGGAGGCACACAAACTAAGCAGCACTTCAGATGTATGAAGTAGCTATTTTCTTTACATGCCTGTCTCTCAATGAGAAAGACAAAGGAAGTTGTCCACTGTTTATATAATTTTTTTTTGAGTCAGGGTCTTTGTTGCCCAGGCTGGAGTACAGTGGTATCATCATAGCTCACTGCAGCCTCAAACTCCTGGGCTCCAGTCATTATCCTGCCTCAACCTCCCTATATCTGGGACTACAGGTACCTACCGCCACACCCAGCTCATTTTGTTTATATAAAGTTTAAAGACATACAAATCCAACAGTATATCTTTTTTTTCTGAATATATGCACATGTGGCAATAGTTGGAAAGGATCCATGGAAATGCTGAACACCACCTTCTGAGAGGTGCTCCCTTCCGGTGGTAAAGAGGCATGCGACTGGGGAGGGAGAGACAGGAGGCTTCCGTGCTATCGCTATTGATCTCTTTTTAGGAGCAAAGCCATACATAATTTGTGTGTTTGTTTTGCTGTCCTAGAGCAGAGAAGTCATGCTTACTTTGGCTTGGTGTGTCAGGAGTGTTGGAGTTTGCTCTTGGACATGGTGTGCGTGTCAGCTTGGGTAGGCGGAGCATGTTCCCAGACTTCCAGACCCTTCTCCACCTGCACAGGTGCCGGGGCTGGTCAGGGACACCCACCTGCCAGCCGTCTGGTGTCTGTGCCTGTTGTTTACCTCAGTTTACCCTGAGGGACAGGGACAGAGATGGGAGATGACTTTTTCTATTCTACTTCTAGCATGGAAACACTGTGGGCCTAGCCGCCTTTTAAGGTGAAAGGGATACATTTTTGTTTTAAATTTTTCCTTCCTGCTTAAGTTCTAAGAGGATCGCATAGACCCTACTTTTGGACATCTGTACATCCTGTTTGAGGGACTGATTTTAAGCCCTTATCAATGGAAGGACTGGAGGCAGAAGAGGAGGGAGCTGAGGGGACCCATGGTGAGGTGTGAAACTTCTGGGAGCCCCAGAGGCTTCCACTTCCTCCTGAAAGGAGTCTTCCTCCATGATGGTGTGCAGACCTGTAGATGTTCTTCGGTTGTGTCCAAGCCTGTAGTCATCACAGCCATTGGCTCAGGTCTCTGCTGTGAGCCCAGTGGTGGTGGGGGGAGTAGGCAAGCTTGAGGGGAACAGGTAGGGGGGCTGTCAAAGGAGACCAAGTCCCTCTGGAACTCTCCCCTCTGTCCCCAACAAGCCAAGTCACTTCAGCTTTGAGGGCTTGTTCTCTCGCCTGTTTTCCAACACTTTTGCGATTTGTCTAGTGATCTCCCTGAAGAAGGAACTGCCATGCTTGGCTATGTCAAGGGGTCTACCTGGTGGCCCAGGCTCCTGTGATGGCAGACTGTCCCCAGAGCTCTGAAAACAGTTTCCCAGAGATTCTGGAAGACCTTTGGCAAGACTCCAGATTTCAGCCTCTTCCTGTGTAAGGTAGAATCAGTATCTTCTTCCCAGCTCTGAGTGGGAAATAGCAGAGTGTTGTGCTTCAAGTGAGGTCCCAAACTGAGGCCCAAGAGCTGAATCTGGCCCTTAAACATGTATTGTTTGGTTTGCACAATCTTTTTAAACAATTTGAAGGAGTTGCTGATTTCACATAAAAATGGGGATTCTACCCTGAAAAGCAGGGAACTGTGGCAGCAGGGAGCCCCAAGTCCCACAGAATCCCTGTCCACACTAATTAGAAGGGCCCTTCCAGAGGACCCTAGACTTGCCAGCCCTGAAGACATTTGGGTGGGAACACAGGTCTTCTGCTTGTGAACATGCTGGCCCTGAAGGTATCTGGACGAAAGCTTGGGCAGGAGCCATCATTAACCTGTCTGAGCAGCATATTAACCTGAGACTCAGTTTCTTACATCTAAATGTGAGTCTGTATGTGATCCAGGTAACTGTTCAGTGCAGTGCCTGGCTGTTTCCTGTCATTGTCATTATCACAGTACGTGTAACACACTGTCCCAGATGAACTCAATGGGAATTTGACACCTGGCGGCACATGATGGTGGAAGAGATTCATTCACTAGTGTGGGTGGCTTATTTGTGGGGAAGAGACTTCTGGCAGAAGGTAGTCCAGCAAAGCGTTAATCTCTTGTGGGATCTAGGTTAAAGTGACAGACACCAAGTACCTGGACAAGAGGCTGAGCAAAAGAACAGGGGTCATGTTCTTGAGTCACCAGAAGCCTGCTCTGGTTGGGGCCCAGTACCACAACAAGGCCTCCTTAGCACCCACTGGCTGATGAGGCTGGGGCGTCTGGGCACTCACACTTAAAAACTCCTTCTTTGTCTTTTATGCCGTTGCCACCACTCTGCTTCTTCCACAGAAACACAAAGCCCTCAGTACCCCTCCCTGGACTCCCACTCCCTATATCCCTTCTGCACTGGGATTAAGGTCCAGTCTGGGCTCCTGGGAATACAGAGGCTGCAGTGAGCCCTGCCTTCAGGCCACATTGAAGACCTGGAGCTTGCTTTGCAGCAGGAGGGATTTGAATTGGACAGAGGGAAGACTTTCCTCCCAATGAGGTGGCTGAACATTGAAATATATCCCTGTGGTAGCCTACACGAGCCACGTCCCCTCTTTACCTCTTTCTCCATTGACTGCCTCAGTGAGGCTGAGCCAAGTGGATAGAGAGCCCAGAGCACTTCAGAGGGTGGGTCCTGGCAAACCCCCTCTCTCTCTTGGTTTTTTCCCTGTAAAAATTTGTCATGGGTTGTTTGGCCTCACCAAGAAGGGCTTCTTGTTTGCTCAGCATGGTTCAGCCGGGGGTAGGGTGCTGACAGACACTAGCAGAGTCCACTGCTAGTGGAGTGCTCTGGATTCCACTGCTAACCCTGTGATTGAACAGTGTCTCCACCGAGGATTGTACCAGAGGGAACTGGCTTGGGGCTGAGGCTTAGCTAAGAGCAAGAGCTTCTGCTAGTCAGCTTCAGCGTCAGCACAGGTGGCTGGGGCTGCAGAGGGTATGAAGGGCTTCGCTGGTGGGCATTTGAGGCTGGAGTCCCTCTGTTTGGAAGGACAGGCATCAACCAGCCCCCATGTTCTGGGTCTCTAGGAGTGAGCCCTTGCTGATTTGGGCTTGTGACACTTGGGTTGGGGGATGCTGCTGTCTCCCCTCTACCTGACTGGCTGGTGGGGGGGCAGCGTAACCTGGGTGGGGATCAGGAAACTCTAGGACCTCCTTGGTTGTGCCTTTGTATGTAAGTGGCACTGCCTCTGATTTGGGGGGAGATGAGAGACTATAAAAAGACATCCCAGGTGCCCAAATAATAATTGAAAGGACCTTTTGGAAATTCTTGCCTACTGGGCCAGAACTTGAGGTGCTCACTGTTCCAAGTCACCCTAATCTTCCTGCAGATGTTTGGAAAGGATTTTACCCCCTTTCAGATCTCTGGCCTCAAATCAGACAACTTAACTTGCCATCAAAGCAGGCGGGCACAGTTCTCCAGAGGCCCATTTGGTTTAAAGCAAGTCTCCTGGCTTGGCCCTGTAGCACATTGGCCCTGTAGCACAGTGGTTATGGTGCCAGCCACATACACTGAGGGTTCAAGCCCAGCCCAGGCCAGCTAAAGAACAATGACAGCTGAAAAAAAGACAAATAGCCGGGTATTTTG